TAGGGGGTTTCCTTCTTCTGGGTCAATTGTCCCAAAATTGAGATATGAACAATCAACCCCCCAAATTTAATGAGTGATACCTCAAACATTATATAAATCTCAAACCCAATACACATAGAGTTCAATTCCTACAATCTAACACATCGTAGACTCGGGTTCACAACATCCAAGTGAAATTAGAGACTACTCCATAGCTAGAGGAGAAAACAAAAATAATATAGAGGAAAACCCCATTACAAAGTGATCTTCCTTCCTCTTAGATGCTTGATTTCACCTTGGGAGAAGAAATCAACCTTCCTCTAACCTTGAGTTGGTGAAAATCTTTGTCCTCCTTATTTAGCTCATTGTTCTCTCTCTAAACCTTGAAGAAGAAGCTCCAACCTCTCTCTAAGGCTCCCCACTTGAATTCAACTAACCCTTCCTTTTATAGTCCCCAAGTGCATGAATCCTGGTCCGAGATCATGCCCATGAACACTACAACAAAATCGGCCTATTAGGACAAAAATTTTATTTCGTCATTTTCTGTTTGTCACAATAGGTACGGTGATATGACAAAAATAATATATGTCCTATTTGGTATGCCTAATGTGACAAAAAAAAATATTGTCAGAATAAGTCGTCATTTAAAGTGAGTGATGTGACAAATAATTCGTGTCACAATTAATTTGGTCAAAATAGGAATCCCATATCGGGATATAAGAGACACAAATATGACAAATTATATTTTCAAAGTTGTTTTTTTCATATTATGCCTTCCTGAATTGTTTAAATGACAAAGTATTTTGTCACAATAAATAACAATAATCCCACGGCGAGCTGACAAAGAGCATGTTCGTCATAATATAATGATTTTGGCTTTGACAAAATGCATGTTCGTCATAATATAGTGGTTTCATTTTTGACAAAAGACATTTTCGTCAAATTTGCTTGTGTTAAACTCAATCAGCGTCGACACATTTTTTCCCCACCAAAATTTCAGCCCCGCCCAATTTTTTAACTGTCCACTTTTCAATCTCTCCCAATTTTTAGACCCCAATTCCAGCCCTCCCAAAACTTAAAATTCTCTCTTCCCCAACAAATTTTTCATTTACCCTAAGCTTTCACTCATTTTCCTCCTCTTCTCTTCTTTTCATTAACCCTAGGACCCAGTACGTTTCCCGACCGATCTCACTCCTTCCCCCTTTTAATCTCTTTTCTTTGCCTCTTAATTTTTTTTGTTTTTTCTTTTCTTCTCTCTACCTTGGCTCTGCTCGTCCCAGGCAACTAGAGCAATGGTCGGCGGCGATGAGTGACGGGCGAGAGGGCAGAGCAGGGCACAGCGGCGCGGATGGAGGCGACGACGAAGCGGTGGAGGACGATGAGTCTGTGAGATCAAATGGGCGCTGTGATTGTTGATGGCGATAGCAGGGTGATGCAGATCTGTCTTTCTGGCAGCGAGAGAAGAGGACGGCGGGGATGGCGGCAGCTCGGGTCTTAGCACCCGAAGATGTGAGAAGCCGTTGAACCGGGGAGTCTCGTCGACCTGGAGCTGGAGGTACCAGAGGTTTTCTCTACAGATTGTATGAACATATAAGCGGCAGCAACAGTGACAACAATAGTTCACAGTTGTCGAGGGATTCAGAATTCTCATATTAGTTTGTTTAGGACACCAAAAATAGTTAGATGTGTAACTAGTATTTCTTTGATCGGTGTTTCATGCTACAAGAATATTAATTTTTTCAAATATCTGTTATTCAGTACATTGATGAATAAATCATATTGTTCACATTATACAGTTATGACAAAATACGTTTGTCCTAATATTAAGTTATGACAATATATGTTCATCATATTATGCAGTTATGACAAAATATATTCGTCATACTATGCATTTATGACAAACTTTGTTCGTCACAATTATGTGATGTCAAAATATACTGGTGTAATATGACAAACAATTCTAGCAAAATAAGCAAATTATGACAAAATTAATGACAAAATTTGTCGTCATAACATCCCTGTTTGTCACAATAGATAACCCAGAACCGCAGCTATACTGAAAGCAAATGTGACAACCTTGTTTTAAACTTTTGTCACATTGGACCTATCCTGACGGCGATAAAATGACAAACCTTTGTGACAACACATTTTGTCATATTATACATAATATGACAAAATGAGTATCTAATATAACAAAATTGTCTCGTCATAATAAGTCGAATTTGTTGTAGTGGAAGTATACAGGGGAACCATGATCTCGGCACAAAATGCACCGTATCGCTTACAATCTTCACGAATCACGGGTCACTTGCTAATATCATGGTCTACGGTCGTGATGCTGACACTACACACAAGCTTTAGAGATCTTCTTGGAACCTTGCAATATTCACGGACTAGGTGTCATTTTCACGGTCTACGCCCGTGATAATTCCTCCTTAACCGTGATCTCTACATCTTTGACCATTTTGCTCCATTCTCGCCATCTTTCGTCCGACTTTTGATCCCGGTGCCAATATTACCTGCTTAGGTTTAAAATATGACACAACACGAACACACTTAGCATAAAATAGCTCCTAGGACCGAGTAAACCAAACAAAATGACAGAAGTAAAGGGGTGTACAATGTATAATCTTTACTGAATAGGTGTAAAGGTTGGAACCCAGCTTTTCTTCATGAATTGTCACTCATTGATGCTTGGGTTGAGATTTAATGGAGATTGGGAGGCTCTAGGAAACTACAAGGAAGAGTCCTTCATCAATTATCTCTCTACGATCTTTCTCGGTCCGATTATCCTCTTTTTTGTCTAACTCACGGTCTCAAGTCACAGTAGTGACATCGTCCTAAAATGCATCGTATCATCCCGCAGTAGTCACGGGCAGGGAAATAATGTCACGGCCATGGCTTGACTTGTGAATGGCTGAAAGTGACTTGTGAAATTCCGTAGACGTTCTGGAGAGTCAAGATCTTGTTGTTGAATGTCATGGCCAAGGTTGTGGCTTTTTACCTTTTGTTGTCTTTGTCCTGATTTTGCCTCCAAATGTCACAAAAATCGTTAATAATGTATGAGGATCTGAAATATCACAAAAGATCACAACCTAATGTAAATTAGGCCAAGGAACGTCTCTAACCAAGATAAAAGGTCCATAAATGAGGATGTAAATATGTGTAATTATGTCAGTATCATTTGCAATTTAGTCAAACCTGTAATTCCCAACTTGAATAGAAGCCTCTTGACTCGAAACCTATCTGTCCCCTTAGTGAAAAAGTCTGCTACTTGATAACTTGTCCCAACATGCTGCAATCTAATCAGTAGTAGAGGGGGAAGCAATATCCCTGCCTGACTTACACAATTTCTAGTATGCACTCCTTTCATTAGGGTAGATCTAAGGCGCTAATCCGAAGTTACGACAAGTTTTCACAAAATGTGACATTTTGAAGAGTGTAGGTTTCTCGACTTGAGCAAAAGAAACAATCTCTTATGTATCAAATCCCATGAGGAGGAGATGTGTAAGGGAGGATGGAGAGTAGTAGGTAGGGTTGTCCATTTGGTTTTGATTTTTTTGGTTTTAACCAAAACCAAACCAATTGGGAAGCTAATAGTTTCAGTTTTTTGATTTTAAACCCGCCGCCCGTTGATCAAAATCGACATCGCCGCCGCCGCCGCCTGATCACCCCCAGTCCCGAAGTTGATCATCACGTCGTGCATTTCCCCCACTCTGCTGAACTGCGCCCGAGTCGAATACGAACCGCGACCCGACCCGCCGGAGACGAATTTATCGATCCGGGAAACAGGGGAGAGCTCCGCCGCCAGGCAAATCTTCTCCCCGTCTACCCCTCCTCGCCGGAACCCATCCTCACCTTCCTCGTCCTCGATCTCCTTGACGTCTCCGAGGAACAACCCGGGTTCCAAATCAATCAATACGACGCTGTAGAACCCACTAACCGGTTCGGGCCCTGCATCGTAGAAAGCAGGGGAGAGGTTCCAGAGCAGCTCGATTCTGCAACCGCAGGCTTCGAATTCTTTGCTCCCTTTCGGTTTCGGAAAATGGCGAGCCGGCGAATTAGAAGCAGAAGGGAGTTTGTCCGTTACCGAGATTGAAAACCCCCCGTCTCCTCCGCCGCAAACGGACCAATTGACGGTGACGAAAATCGGATTGGAATTCAGCGAGGAGTTGTTTTTGATTATTTTGTAAGTGGAAGTGACGGAGCTCGGCGCCGGGCGGGTGGGGTGCTGGGAAATTTAGCTTCTGTACCCCCACACAACTCGACAAAAGGGGTAGTTGACTTTTATTATTGTAAATATTTGATTTTTATTATTTTATTATTTTTTTAATGGCCACGTCACTCTTTTAACGGTCAACTATAATAGTTGACTGCCACATCAGCAAAAACTAACGGAGACTAACGGAGAGTGACCAAACTTGAACTATTGAACTAATCTTAGTGACCATGAATAGAATTAAATATTTGTAGTGACCAAATATGAACGGTTTTAGTAAACCCAGTGACCATCCTTGCAATTAACCCCCCAAGTTAGACATTGAGAGTAAAGTTCATATCATTTTAAAGTATTAACCCTACTTTTAAAATATGATAACACATTGTACCATAGTGTAGAAATTTTAAAATAAAATATAGTGTAAACAATTAACAAAATTTATGTTTATGGTAATATTTATATAAAAATCAAAACCACTTTATATCATACTCTACTCTTTGGCACCAGCAAACGAATAGGATATCTACTGTATATCCAGCTTGGGATCTAGAAACTGCATTCATGTATTTCTTTATTTATTTTTATTTTGATAGAACTGCATTCATGTATTACTATTACCATATCGTTTAATTTCCATTCCTGATCGGATTCGGACTCCAGTACTATAGCACTAACCCGAGACCCACACGGGTAATTTCCTAGTCTGATTAGGAAACGGAATTTGTTTCACCCGGCCAAGCAGACATGAGACAACCACTCAAATTTCTTATATATTGCTCTCTCCACACTCAAAATCCACTTGCTTTTTTGGTCCCTCTGTCTTCTTCCTCCTCCTCCTCCACCAGCTCGGCGATGGATTTCGTTGCTTCTCCTCGATTCTTCTCCGAGGTAACTCTCCAAGACCCGCCGCCCCTCGAAACCAACGTGCCGCGGCGAACGACTTTGGTCTCCACAACTTCCTCCACGCGCCTCCATGTGACCGTCCACTACACCATGATTCAGAGACAAATCTTCCGATACGGCCGCATCCTCGCGTTCGACCCGGTGCTCGGCGCGTCGATGGCGCCCCCGCCCCATTCCTTCGACTTGGGCACGTTGGGGATGCTCCGCATCCGGCCCGCCCACGTGCTCCAAAACCTCGCTGCCGTCTGGGCCCATCTCGGTATACCCGAATGGGCCCGTCAGCACCTGGGCCTCTCCCTGACCCGACAGATCGACGAGCTGGCCCAGGACCTGCCGCGCACGCTCCAAGAGCTGCGCGTGGTGTGGAGGGTGAAGAGGGTGGACGACGTCGTGCACAATCTCCAACTCGACGACGAGCCGACCAGGAGCTGGTTTAGGCAGTTCGCAATGGCGGCGCTGGTGGCGGCGGGACAGGGGAACGGGAATAACAACAACGGGATGGTCCCCGCCGCGCCTGAGGCTCTGGCGAAACTGGCGGCGGTGGAAGCGGAGTCCGTCGCCGGCCGGGGGGAGAGTTGCTCGATCTGCTTGGACGAGTTGGGCGGTGGCGGTGGTGCGGCTGCGGCGATGCCTTGCAAGCATGTGTTTCACGAGCAGTGCATTGTTTCTTGGTTGAAACGGAGCCATTACTGTCCAATTTGTCGATTCGAGATGCCCACGGCGGAGGATGCGCGGCTGTCTCTGGCGTCATAGACGGTTTCTTGTCGTCGGAGATAGGTTTAGTAGTGACTACTACATGTCTACATTAGTGTAGTGGACGAATTGGTTGTAAATTTGTGTACGCTCAAGTTCCTTTTGGTAATTTGACTTTACTTTTAGTTTATAATTTTTTCAAGAATGTTTGTTTACTTTACTATCATCGTCCAATTTCAAGATTTTCTCAAACGATCATGCGTGAGTGTGTTTGTATCTCTTGCTATAATCATAACTGTTATTAGAGGAATCGAATGGATTTAAGGTGGAACGTAAAATGATTATTCGAGTTCTTTTGGAAGAGGAACGGATAAGAATTGTATTGTACTCAAAAGAATTAATCGGATGAACCAAGAGGTATAATCCATTAATGGATATGAATTTATGGTTGATGGAGAGCAGTATCTTGGAAAACATCTATGTTTGAACTATATATAGTATATACCATTCTAAGACCGGTGAAGTCTAGAAGTGTTATGTGAAAATCTCTCTATATAAGGAAACATAACACTATGGATTGATTAATTTCTAGCGAATTTATATGGATTGATCATCTTAAATCAAATGATACCAAACATGGGGCCCACCTAAAAATTATTTTAAAGCATCGAAGGGAATGGACTCGTGGCCTAGGACAAATCATCATTGCGGTAACTCTACCTAAGTAGGATTGTCAGACCAAACCTATAGGTTCAAGGATAAACAAAGTTGTGAATGATGGTCCGACATTGTCAAATTATTCAAAGTCCATTCTCATGATGAGACAATATTCAAAATAAGAGTAAACCTAAATCTGAAAGGTTTTTAATGGTTTCTACGTTTGACATGTGGTGTAATCAAACAATGTATTTTCATAATACACGTTTAGAAATCACATATGTGAGTGTGAAATGGATCCGCTTCAAGGAGATAAAAGAAGACCAGTTCTCTAAGCACCCATGAGACTAGGCGGTGTTCATGGCTAAAACGAACACAACAATGAGAACCATCAGTGAACGGATAAGAGTTAGTTGTGTGACATATATTGTCTTGGTATACGAGCAAAACCAACGGTTCAAAGATATCACATCTACAGATTGGTGAGTATACTCGATATGTATTCACTAAGTAAGGTTAAAAGGGAAACCCACGTATCCCCATGCAAGTAATTCTTAGTCGAGAATCACACAGTTTTTTGCATAGTTTTTTTAAGTATGACATTCTCCATTCATGTGGGGAATTGTTGGGATTTTAATGGTGTGAATGGAATTGAAAGGGGAAATATACAAGAGAATCTCATAAAGTACCATGTTGGTAAGATAGTAGTTTAGTTTCTCAACTTCGATATTTTGATTATTTTAGTTTTTGAACTTCAAGTGTCTCCCTTTAGCTCCTTTTACATCACAAATTTGTGGTTTTTTTAAACATTTTGTGAATGAATAATGTAAATTTAGTTCCTATAATACAAATTTTATATTTTATAAGAGAATTTTGAATTGAATAATTAAAAAAATTATTAAAAAATGAGTCACATCTTAATTAGGGGTGTTCAAATGGTTATCATGGTAATTACCAAACTAAATAAGCATAAATTCTATTAACCATGGAATACAAACTAATATAATAAACAAAACCGTCCAAACTATTATAACAACCAAATTAACCAAAGTAAAATTTAGTCGATTTGGTTAATTGTTTAATCAGATTAACCAATATAACATATCATTATCATTAAGTGAGAAAATTTTCTGGTTAATGTATAAATTCATAATTTATATAATGAATAAAACATAACAATCAACATATAGTTGTAGTTAATCTTTAACATAAATACATGCAACTTATGCAATTATCTTACAGTCAATAGAAGTACTCACCTAACAAAAATATATGCAATGGTATGGGGTTAATGAATTATTGTATTTGTGTAAATTCACTTAGACTCTTATCAATTATCATAGCTAGGCTGAGAAAGAGGACCATATCAGGTTAGTATCCTTGCTATCAGTAACTGTTAGTAATCCAATCATCTGTCCCCACGTGTCAGCTTTTTCATTTTATTTAAATTAAACACGGAGGGGCACTAAGGTAAATTGCACCCCCTATTTAATGATGACGCTGACTTTTTGACCAGACGCGGATCCCACTCCCCCACCCCACATTGGTTGTCTGGTTCCCCTCTCTCACTCTTTGTTTTATTTTATTATTAAAAAAATTACATTATTTCTTCTCTCTCCCATCTACAACAAAAATGAATCTAACCATCCTAACTATCTCTAAACTAATTCCAGCTCAAATTGAATGATGTTTTTTTCGTTAAATAATACAGTGTTAAAGACACTAATTACAAGTATAAATATGATTATCACTTTCTACTATCATGGTAAAATATGTTGAAGAAAATTACAATTCTAACTACCATACAATACCACATGGTAAATCATGATAAAATATGTTGAAGAAAATTAAAAATCTAACTACCATACAATACCACATGGTATAACATGGTAAAACATGCTACAGAAATTTACAAATCTAATTACCATACCATACCATATAGTATAACATGCTAAAATAAAATTACAAATCAAACTACCACCACATGGTATAACTTGGTAAACTACGCTACAAAAAATTATAAATCTAACTAGCATACAATACCACCATAGTAGAACATGGTAAATCAAAGGACCACAAATTAATTATAATTATTATATAATATCACATGGTATGAGAAGGTAAAACCATGTGAATCTAATTACAACCCTCTACGACCATAGTAAAAACATGATATTCATAAAAATACATTTTGTTACCACACATTATCATATAGTATAGTGTGGTAATCTCAATATATATGTACAATTATGACTTTCTTCACTTTCTTCTCTCCCTTCATTGTCTTCTAACTCTTCTTTCTCGGAACTGGTGTCGATTACCACCCACTACCACCATGATAAAACTCGTGACTATAAAAATACATTTAGTAAGCACACATTACCATATGGTATAGTGTGGTAATATCAATAAATATTCTCAAAGAAGGGGAAACAGAAGGAGGAAGAGGGGGAAAAAAACTCGTCTTCTGTCTCCTCTCACTTACTCCTCCGCAATCAAGAATACCAAATGCAAAAAGAAAGCAAAAGAGGAAGAAGATCGGAATTAATTCACAAACAAATACTAAAACACAAAATATGCAAACTCAACTCACATAGATCTATCCCCTCTTTGACAATATGGAGCGTCATCGATTTTGAGGTCGAGAAAAGAAAAAACATAAGGAAGGAGCAGCTTGAGAGAAGAAGGATTTGGAGCGTCACCGGATTTGAGGTGGGCGGCTGCAATTTCTTCTTTGATTGTTGGAGAAAAAAATGAAGAACAAGATAAGAAATGAGATTTAGATCTGGAAAAAAGAGTTTGGAAGATAGAAAGGAAGAGAGAGAGAGAAAAGAGAGAGGAAGAGAGAAGTCTGTTTTTCTCTTTCCTCCATTAAAAGATAAACATATAAATGCTGAAAAAAATAAAAAAAGGAAATAAATCAAATTTCAAAAATCGGACAAAGATGTCCCTCCTCACTCCGCGTGCAGCCCAGCCATATGATAATGCCATCCCTAGATCTACGGTCCGGATTTAGTTACTGATAGGTCAGTAACCATTGGTTACTGAATCTATCCTAGGCCCTGAGAAAGACCTTCCTTTCATTTTCATCCAACATAATATATGAGTTTTTATCTAAATTAGGCTTCTATATGTTGTGGTCTACACTTTACAAATACAAATATAGAACAATATTGAGTTTTATTTTTTTTATGTATAAAAGAGAGGAACCTTTTGAATCTTTAGTGCTTATGCAAAGTATTGAGTATGTGTGTATAATATATATTAGATATATGACTAATTACTTAACTGGTTAATTTGGTTCGATTGGATAGGAGTGTCTGAAATCAAACCAAACCATCTAAACCAAATAAGCTAACAAATTTAACCAAACAATGTAGTCAAAAGCGCGTTTCTACGTAGAAGCGTTTCGGTGATCTAGAAAAGTAAAATCGTAAGTTTTTAAGCTTTAAATCACGTTTTAACTACATAGCTATAAAAACTACGATTTTGTGTAGAAGCGTTTTGGTGACCTAGAAACATAAAAGCGTAAGTTCTTAAACTTTAAAGCGCGATTTTGACTACAAACCAAACCAAACCAGTTATCCAAAAAATACTGGTTAAAACAATTTCCACGGTAACAATTACGTTTGATCACTCCTAATTAGGGATGGCAATGGGTCGGGTTTGGGGCGGATTGTACTAAACCCATTCACATACCCATTTTCAATTGTCAAATCCATACCCTCCCCATCCCCATGCGGGGAAAGATTTTGCATCCCCATCCCCGCGGGTTTCGGATACTCGAGGGTAATCGCTGGCCCGTACATTTGATTATGATTATAACTAAATTAATACACTTGAATTCAACAAAACATATAACTATTGGGTTGAAACATCAAACCTAATCAATAATGAACCTAATAAAGAACCACTGAAAAACTTAATTATATCATCCAATTCCTACGAAGTTCCATAAACAAAGTACCAATAAATAATCCAACACCAAATTATTCATCTCCAAAACACCTACTAAACAATAAAAATCCACACATAAAAGTCAAGTTGTCCTCCAAAGTAGGGTTAGAAACGTGTTAGCCTGTTAAGAAATTAGGATTGGTTTTAACCATGTGAAATTAATCTTTTAGTCCTTATTTTGGTTTACAATAACCCTTAAAGTCCTTTTGATAGGTTACAGTGTAGTTATATTTTACAATTATAAAACATAAGTAATGGCGGGGCAGACATGGGTATGAGTATGGGGCGGGGGCACTCAAATCCATCTCCGTCCCATCCCCACAAGATTTTTTGCGGCTATTACCCGTATCCGCCCCATACCCAGTCAATGCGGGGATTTCCCTCGTTGACCGAGTTGGGTAGGGTCGGATACCCACGATTACGGCTATAATTCACATCCTACTCCTAATCTTATTTATGTAACAATGCCTATAATATCAATTGCAATGAAAAGGGGAGAGAAAAGTCAAGCCCTTTGTGTTTTTGCTTGTTTTTTAGAAGAGGAAAAATTGGAAACCATCGGTATTAACTGTTTACTTGTTTAGAACACAGGTGTTGATTACAGAAATTTATTTAAAAGGTTAAACATAAAAGTTATGTATTAACTCTTAATTCACCTGCTTAACCATTGAACTATCTAAATTCTAAACTCTTGAAAATTGAGGGCTATGGGTCATGGCTAATGTTGGCCAGCCACGTGGCTGGAACCCAGAACAGATGATAAACGATAACCCAGAAACAGGGGAATAATGTAGGAGAGTTTTCGCACTTCTCCCAGCCATTGTCGCCGGCGGGAAGCTAAGCTATGTCTTTGACGGTCGGGTTAAATTGTTGCCGAGTTAGAGCTCTGGGTTACTCCTCCGCTTTACTTCCATGGCGGCCGAGCATAGGTTTGATTACGATGCCAAAGGGCTGCAGATTTCGAACTAGGGCTTCTGGGAGACGGAAGGTGTTGAAGAAGAAACAGAGGGAGGAGGAAGAAGCAAAATCGGAAGCCGCCATTTCTCTCCAGACTTCTGCCGATGAACGTTTTTCAGTGGACGAGAATCCGGCGGATTCAAATGTCGGAATAGTTAACCCTCCGAGGGGAGCTGTGATTCAAGCTTGCACACTCACTTCTGGGCTCATTGCCGCCTTGGGAATATTACTGCGGCAGGTAAACTCCACAATGAAAATACTAAGGACTGCCAAGTAGAACACTGTTTTCCTTTGATGGGTGAAAAAATATTGAGAAGATTTAAGCCTTTCTTAATTATCTTTAGGTATCTCATGTTGCGGCGGAAGAAGGATTGCCCGTTGTTGACTGTTCCGAGCAAGTCTCTTGTATGAATCCGAGTTTCGTTCAAAATTTTATAGATTTATTTTTGGCATTGGAGAGTGAATTCCAGCTCTCTGGTCTTATGCTCTGTTTCTCTCTCTGTGCAGTTGGGTTTGAGATATGGCACCTTGGATTGATATTTGGATTGATTCTAGTAATATCCTCATCTCGATTCTTGCTACTGAAGACATGGCCGGATTTCAGGGAGTCCTCTGAAGCAGCAAACCAGCAGGTTAGGAAGGAAGGAACCCTATTGATTGATTCTCAGTGGATGGTTTTTGGGGGGAAATTTTGATTTGCATACAATGAGCTGCTGCAATATTGCAGGTTCTCACATCTCTTGAGCCTCTGGACTACTTACTAGTTGCATTTCTGCCCGGAGTCAGCGAGGTAAGTGGGGGAATCCAATTGCATACAACTGATAGAAGCAACAACTTCTTGTTGACGGAATTTGGGAATCTCCCTCTCTCTTTACAGGAGCTCCTTTTCCGGGGCGCCTTGCAGCCGCTGTTTGGAATGGACTTGAAGAGTGTTCTCGCTGTTGCTGCCTTGTTCGGCATCTTACACCTCGGAAATGGTCGAAAGTACTCCTTCGCTTTCTGGTAGCATGCCTTGGGATGGACTTGAAGAGTGTTCTCGCTGTAGCTAACTGCTTGAATTTGCTTCTGGTCAGTTCTGTCTAGGTCCATTTTGTGTACTGATTCTCGTTAATTCCCCCTTTCTGCAGGGCAACCTTCGTTGGCTGCATCTATGGCTACGCCACGATAGCATCCTCGAGCATTGTCGTGCCAATGGCTGCCCATGCTTTGAACAATCTCATTGGAGGGATCTCATGGCGCTACAGCAGCCAATCTTTCAAGGCCTTGAAGTAGTCTATAACTTGGTTAGACCGACTTTTTTCCTCGAACTTATAACTATTAAGATCTCTCATTGCTTCCAATACTATCTTTTTTTAAATCAAGGAGCATTATTGAAAAGAAAGGCTTCGTCCTTGAATCAAACCTTGTATTTGGAATGTAACAACACTAACACCAGATTAGAGGTTCTTATGCTCCTTTTTGGTGGTAACTGAAAAAGGAACAATAGAATGTGTATTAAAAAGATCTTTTCTTGAATATTAAGGAAGGAACTAGCTTGACAATAAAACAAAAGAGGAGGCATCAGTAAGTGTGAAAGAATAGTGAGAAGCCGTTTGAGCTCTCCAAACCGGTCAAGATATCCTTCCTTGTTGGTATTTCCCTTACAGCTCAAATCATTAGGAGAAAAATAAAGTTTCTGCTTCTGAGATTCCCAAGTGCTTGTCCTGCTAAAGACAGGGAGGTTTGGAGCTACACTATAGCACTGAAGCTATCCCCGCCCCCGGGAAATACACTGTCTTGTTGCTGCTTGATGACAAAGTCATCTTGTTCAGACTCATCGTCTTCTGCAATGCAAGGGTGTTGATAACTTCTAGTGCTAAGGGGGGGACTGTTCTTGTCTCCTTGTCCTTGTCTTCTTGCCAATGGGAGATGATCTCATGACCCAATCAAGACGGCCACCTTCTTGAATGATTCTCGTGCGTAGTTAGCATCTACCTAAACTGGATCCAGGCTGTATATGAAGTTCCACTTCTTAACTCTTATGTATGCCAAAACACTTGATCTGTACACATTATACATGTTCTTGTCTGAGATGAAAATGGAGTAATTTGTTCCTTCCTCCATTTCGGTATAACTAGCTCTTTTTTCGCCTTTAGATGTTTGTGACAGTTTGCTGCAGCCTGCACTATGTTTGAGGTAAAAAGTGGTTTTGCAGCTTCACTTACCAGTTCTGACTCGCAATTGTGTTTCTTTCTGACTAAAGCTTTACGTGAATTTGTTTTCCGTTTATGTGTTAAGATGGGAAAGTTTGAGAAGGGAGATAGGGAGAGGAGGAGGCAGGAGAGGGAGAGACTGAAGCAGGAGAAGAAGTGGAAGAAGAAGAAGGAGAAGAAGAGGAACAAGAGGAATAGGAAGAAGAACAACAACAACGGGAGTAACGATGGTGGCTCGTTGCCAAGGTTTGGGGAATGGGACGAGAGCGATCCATCATCAGCAGACGGTTACAGTGCCATATTCGACATCGTTAGGAAAGAGAAGAACAGTGGGTTTTGTGTCGGGAATCTGTCATTCAAGCTGGCTGATCAGATCAAAACAAGGAAGAGAGGCAGGCTCCGCCGTTTCCTGAAATCTTTGAAGGTAAGCCGTGTAATCAAAATTTCCGAGTCAACTTCTACAGGTTTACGCTTTCATGAGTTTACTCAATCAAATAAGTTTGTATCCGACATCTGTTATCGAATTTTATGCTTACTCCATGTAGAATCAAACGGTTTCAACAGGTCATGAATGGAAGGATGCAAGCTGAATGTTTATAGATGACAAAATATGTTTTAGCGATAGTAGGATTAGGAACACAATTGGATGCAGTAGTAATGGTCAAAGCTGGTTTCTTTATGATGAAGTTGGGAACTTAGGTTGATTTATTATCCTGTGCCTGATGTTTTTGCAGAGATGGTGGAGTTGCTTGTGAAAGAAGCTTGCAGAGGGAGGAACAGTGGATTAATCAATGGCTAGCAAGTTTTGATGCTGCTTTGTGGTTCTACCGTGCTGTGATGTTTGGCTAAGAAAGAAGGGATATGTGTTGGCAATATATGTTGATTTTATTCATTTCCGGCGACTGGAAATTCATGTCTCTATATGTCGATCGAACTTCCGGGTTCGACATTGGAACAGTTGGGTTGAGTTTGAAGATGTTCTGTAATTTTATTGGCATTGAGAGGATCATGGAAGAGGAGGATTGAAATTAGAGTTTGTTCAACGTGTACTACTTGTGTTTAAAGAAATGGATAAACGAATGTGAATATAGTATAGCCCGACTTGCCGTATCTATATGGAAGATGGTATTTCAAGTAAGCTATTATTGTTTTGCGTTTCCATATGTTTTCCTGTTTCTACTTGGTGCGTGAACTGGTTTAATTTTTGGTTGTTGGAAAGCTATGGTTATGATATGAACACCACAATGCCTCTATTCTTCTCATGTGGAGAAGCATGCCCACCTCAACCATTTTTTCGAAATGCGTGGACGGGGTATAAAATGACTTTAGTGGAAGCGATATAGTTATGCTATAGATGAATCATTGATGCATGTTGTGATTTAGCTTTAGTATGCATGACAATACTCGAGTTTGCTCTCTTCTACAATAACACATTTTTACTATTATGCATCTACAAATTGAAAAACACCTAAACAACTTTACCATTCTAGGCACCCTCTAGGATTTTAATTTTGATCTACACTTTGAACATCATGTAACATGACTCTGCATACTGACCCATGAAGGCCGTCATGGCTATCCAACTCAGATGCCCCTAATGGTTGTGGAGAGATGTCTTCCTAATATGGATGAGATTTTTGAATTACCCAAGGGTCTAGTTTGTGCATTGTAGAAAGGTGGTTGTTCTTGGAACCCAAATCGGTAGTTTTCTCTGTGCTGGTTATCCCGTAAAGTCTGGGGGTAACACCACTTGGGTGTTGGTTGATACTCTCACATGTTGGAGAAGTCGTTGGAATTCATAATTTAAACCTGCACAACAACAAAAAAATCCAAGTGAAAAGCAAGGGTGTGAAACAAAACAAATAAAATAAGGAAAAGCTAAATTAGCAAATTTTTGCCTTTCCTAATAGCCTAGAATGTCCACAACAACGACACCAAAAAATTGATTCGCTAAAACTACCACTCCAATAAATGACAAAGTATAACAAAAGATCGGGAAGAGTATAGTGGAAGTAACGATTATTTTCCTAGTTTTCTTGATCGACCCTTGTCTTCTTCGTTCTAACTCGGATTTCAAAATTTTTTTTTGCATAGATGAAACGAGTTCATTGTGCTCTACAAAATGATATCAATTTTCAATATATTTTGAGAATTATTTTTTCATACCTCCCTGGTATGGGGGTGGTAACTTTTTTTTTTTTACAGTCTATGGGGGTGATAACTTGTAGTAAACAATGATGAAAATCGTAAATGATAGTTATTATACTCCTACTATCATGTATTTAACATTCCTACAATTTTGGTATGTTTATACCAGTACATTTTTTTACCATATGATATGCTCCTATTTAATACCATATGGTATTCACTGGTAAAAAATGCCTTAATTTTTTGTTCTAAAAATATATTAAAGTGAATATTATTTTAAAGAGCATAATTAATTTGATTTATCTGTGAAAAAAATTCAAATTCCGACTTAGAACGTGAAAGAAATCGTCCGTTCAAAATTAAGAGAAAAAAATTAGATGTTTTGCTGAGAGAAAAAAATACTGATATCACGCTTTATATGAAAGTTACTCATTATTACTCATTCAACAAATATATATAGGCCATTTTTAAAAGATAAGTTTAGTGGCATTCCCATAGACAAATTGGACACCAATGACCTAATTGTGAGAGAGTTCAGTCAAATCAAGGCATTCGCGGAAGAGTCAAAAGACTGACATGGAAGTTGGACTGTCGTTGGAACTCCCCTCCCCAAAAACCAGCTCACCAACCCCGCTGGGCTTGTATTTGCTTCCCACGATGTCTGGGAATTGAAGCAAAGAAGGGGAAAAGAAGTTAATTCCTCAGTTCAGTTCCTTCTGGAGTCTGGATCGAGGTTTCTTCTTGTTCTAGGTTTGAACTTTGAAGGGGAAGAAAAAGGGCATCAAATGCAACAAGAGAATGGCGAGCACCAACAGCTGTGCGGTACAAGGAGGATGCCCTACCGATTATGTAGCCATAGCCATTGCCATACTCTCTATCATGCTGTCAGTAGCTCCTCCCTTTCCCCTTTTCTTTTGATGGGTTGCTTTTAAACTTCGTGATTTCTTTCTCTGAGTTGTGGGATTCTGTGTGTTTGGTGGATGCTTCTGCTCCCCTGTTGTTCGACGTTATGCTGCAACCAGGATTAAGTAGTAACCTTTTTCTACCCTGTTGGCTGTCGTTAGAAATTTGTCTGCTTTATTCTTGAGCTTTTGGGCATGTCGACGCAATTGATTCTCTCTCGTCTTGTTTGGAACCCCAAGCTCCATGGAAGACGTGATAGTCTGTTCCATTACGAAAGATGGAAGTTTTCCCAGTCTAAATGCTAGGTTTTGGTGAAACGGGGAAACCCTGGAGGAATGAAGTACAGAAGTTTTTACTGACCATGTTTTTCTTCTAATATTTGCTATGATATATTGCTTTTAAGTTTTAGGAATACAGTAGAGTCATGATTTCTGAGCTATGCATTGTTTGATTCCAGGCTTCTTTCGAGGTCGGTGTTTCCCTGCTTGATCCACAAGGTTCCAAGAACCAACGGTAGTGGTTTCTGGTTCCCGGTGTTTCAAGTTTTTGGCAGCTTCAACCTTTTGCTATCTCTAGTGGTACGTTGGTGATATGTTAGTGCCAGGATTTTTGTGGCTGTTCTTTGATTGGCAATGTCGGTAAGGATAATTCCATCTAAACTTGAGCTGTTTCCTCTTCCAGCTGTCAATCAACTTCCTGAAATTAGAAAAGAAGCATTGGTGGACATCCTGCTATATCTGGGCAGGTCATTCAAACTTCGACAGTATTATCAAATTCTCAACTATGCTTTCTGCCTACTTCATTGGTTCGATCGCTGAAGCCAAATTCTTTGGTTTCCTCTTTCATGTGCAGTGTGGTTCGAAGGTCCCCTAGGATTTGGTTTGTTGCTAAGCTGCCGTATTGCACAGGCATTTCAACTGTACTTCATATTTGTCAAGTAAATGGCAGGCTTACTAATTATAGAACTCTAGTTTTGGACTAAATAGTTATATAATTCTGATCGTTTTCCAATTTCTTCATCAATTAACGTCTGAGTCCCTTTCTCCATTTGATAGGAGACGATTACCACCAATAAGATCCTATGTGTTTCTGCCGTTGGCTCTCTCGCCATGGATTGCTGGAGCTGCATGTATGTTTCTTGAAAATAGTCTAACGAGATTGACCTACCTCGTGTTACCATATTTGATGACAAGGACGCTGTTTTATCCCACTTGTAGTTATCCATGCAAAGAAGGCAATGAATCACCGTTGCCACATGGGGACACGGTGGATAGTCCCAGTTACGTGCCTTCACACGCTCTATGTTGTTGCTTTAGTTGGATGCACCAGGTCTATTCGGCATATCGAGTTCAAGTTTGATGAACTCAAGGACCTTTGGCAGGGGATACTTGTTTCTTCATCATCCATAGGTACACTTTTCATCTCTTTGCTTGTTTTGCAATGCTCATCTCAACTCCTTTTAATCAAATTCAGCTTTTCTTAATCTCCAGGAGTTTGGGTGGTTGCGTATATATTGAATGAAGTCCATGATGATGTTGCGTGGCTCCAAGTTCTGTCAAGATTTTTGCTTCTGGTTACGGTCAGTTATTTTCAGCTGTAGAGTCGCATCTTTTCATCTAACTTCCTTTTGTTGGTCATTTAATGACATAATTTGAAGATGTTATGTGGTCAACTTTCCCTAGAGTGACGGAATATCAATTTCATCATTTGGTTGGTCATTTTAAAGGCCGATGGAATCTGTTGAAGCTGGATCATTCCGACTTCTCTTATATCCAAGTACCCTTCGGCAAAACTCAGTTTACATGAACACTTATTAACTAATAGCAAAAGTCACCCAGTCAATAGGATGTTCTTCAAATCCACCCTATTTTCAACTCATTTCAGATTTCATCTGTTTCCTCTTTCTATTACCCCAACCTACACCTTTAGGTATTGCTTAGTACGATTTAGCTTAATATGTTGTTGCTAACTTCGTCTCAGGTATGATCCTTCACAGGCAAGTGTTCTTGTGTTGGCTTTCTTCTCCATGTCAAGTTCTCAGCCTTTGCTCGCTCAAATCAGCTTGAGGAGAAGGGAACCTTCAGAATTTCGATCAATGGGTCAAGCGCTGGGAATACCTGATAGTGGGCTTCTTTTTCAACGAGATCCAGCTCCAGGCGTTGACCCTTCCGACCCACTAGATAAGCTTCTTCTCAACCGAAGATTCCGCCAATCATTTATGGCATTTGCTGACAGGTGGTTCTTCCTCTTGCACTATATTTAGTCCCTTTGGGAACTGATAGGAGAACGTATCAGTCATGTCATAACGACGTTTCTTCTGATTAACAGTTGTTTAGCTGGGGAAAGTGTGCATTTCTACAATGAAGTCTATGAACTCGGTAAAATTCCTACTGATGACCCTGTACGAAGCATTTACATGGCACGCCACATTATCGAGAAGTATGTAGTTGCAGGTTTGTATTCACAGAATTTTCTGCTTATTTCTTTAACATTGGTTGCGACAGACATGAGTCTAATGGTGGGTTGTTGGTGTCGGATTTGACCCTTTTCAACCAATCGACCGAAGCATCTTGGTCTATATAACAAGTAATCCAAACCCAATCTTAAAAATGTAGCATTGATATTTGAGTTAGGTCTGTTTTTGGTGGCAACCACCAAAACAACTATCGTAGTCTAATCTGAATGGCTGGAAGTAGCAGTTCAGAACTATTTTTGGCTAGAGAATTAACAGTTAATAACACAACAATACAGAGAAACAAACAGCCAACTTATCCTTGGTGCCCTTTGCTCTTAAGAACTTATCCTTGGTTTGATTCGTGAATCTTTTTGTTTGATGATGGTCCCACTAATGATTTTACTAATTTAAGAATCTCTTATGCTGGATATTAATAAACAAAAAAAATTCATTAAAAATAAACCTAGAGTTCAAATATTTAAGGCGTTGAAGATGTTGGGGGTGGGGGTGATTTGATGAGCTTGAGTGGAGAGGACATGGAATGTCACGCTTGCTTGGTGGCTGATAAACATAAGTTATTACTCAGTTTACAGCCTAAACCATATCCAGCCATGAAAACCCTGATCTTACATATCACCAGCCTCCCTATCCCCGCCTGTAAAGCTTCATTTGCTTGGGTGATTTCAAATTGGCTGGGTTCTTAGGTCTGATGAGACAGATGGTTTGGATTTCTGTTAGCTTTATTCACAAGCAGCAAAGCAAAGCAAATCGTTCTATTGTCGTGAAGCCCCAAGTTTTGTCCAGTTATCCATAATTTGCTGTCTGTTCTGTGGTGAAACCAGAATGATTATTGTGAAATCGAACCTCTTGTTTACTTTGAGGCATGTTTCATCCCTGTTCAGTATCTCTCTGCCATGCACAATGAGGTATAACTTATTCAGTCTGTGGTTTCTCGAGCATTGCTCAAGAGTTGTTCCTCTGTCATTCAGGTGCACCGATGGAGGTAAACATTTCTTATCGAACACGGCAAGACATATTGACGACAACCAACCTGGCAGACCCTGATCTCTTCAGCGCTGCACTGAACGAAGTGATGCAGCTCATGAAAACGGTGGGTAAACTTGAAACACTAGTGACTGTCGACTCCCTTTTTAGATTAAAGATTAAAACTTCCATTTCTGTTGTTTCCGTTTCTTCCCGAAGAATCTTGCAAAAGATTACTGGTCATCCATGTACTATCTCAAGTTGAAAGAGGAAGCAAGTGCTTGGTCCAGTCGCATCGAAGTTGAAGGAATAGGCGTTGGCGGTAACTTCTCCCCTCGACTGAGCTCAGTTCACGGTGCTGTTGATGATCCATTCCACCACGACCAGTATGTAAAACCTGGCTGTCTGTAATACTCTAGAGCGATCATCAGATTCATAAATGGTGGGAAATCATTACAGTTTTTACTCTGCAGTTTGTACAGTCTTATTGTAACACCTAGCAGGCTAGCATTACAAATTACACTCTTTTATGAATCAAATACGGTTCTTCTTAAACCAGAACATGTACCAGCTGGTTTAGTTAAGTAATTAACATCTCGAGGAGTTCTATCATGAAGTGATACTAAATCCTCGGATCATTCACTCGACTTGTTCATGGGATCTAATTGCCAGTAAAGACTAAAGAGTATATTGGTTAGGGTTCATGTGAAGGCTTGGGAAAATGTAAGGTGTGGTGATCACACTAGTAGAAAGATCTAGTCTTTGAATGTATACATATGGTAAAAGTTAGTTGCTGCTACGAAACCTAATACGCGTTATTGATACGAAATCTACTATGCATGTAGCACGCATTTTAACTTTGATCGCCAAATGAGATTAAAACGAGCAGACCCATCTCTGTAAAAGTGAAAGAGCTCCAGTTGAAAACTCCTCCTCAACATTACAGATAGTGGGTGAACGTGAACTGATGGAAGTGTTGGTTGCAGTTATTGATATCATATCATAAAAGAAGAAGCTAGCATTGCATTGTATGAGAGAAGCAGATCGAACAGAAACTGGGCTGCATGCATACGGGGAAATCGTGACTACAGATATTAAACGTAGCCAGCTAAATGTGACCAGAACAGTCAAACGCAGGCGATACCTTCTTGAGACCTGTGTCTTTTGCGACCAGTAAGCACACAAGCAGCAGAAATGGATCTGAATTCTGAGTGGCGACACATTTACTACCATTCCATCACAAGAAATGGTTAGTTGGGAGGAAAGCATTATGTCATCAACCCTTTCTACAGGTCAAACTGGAAAATAGTAATTTATTAGAAAAATGCATGGCAAGATTCTTATGACCATCTCTCTGTTGACTTCCTCAATTGAAAGCAAAAAGAATGCATGAATCATTTGATTGATTGAGAAGAGAGACACATAAATTCCACGTCTTTTGAGGGTTCCAATTAATATACTAATCTAGCCAACTTCTGACATGACCTAACTAGTTAACTTGACCACAGTTAGCCTAATCAGGAAAACGAACTAATTAATATGTTTCTCTCAATGGGTCTAGCCAAGTTGATTAGCAAGCTAGCTAGCTTGCCAAATTTAGGGTATAGAACTCTCTATTAGGGGTGGGCAATGGGTTGGTCCATACCGGACCACACCGGACCGAATCGATATTTGTACCGGACCACACCGAATCGAATATAATATGATTCAGTTTCTGGTCCTATGAATTTTATAAATATTGAAGAAAAATGGACCACTTTTATATTTGGACCGGACCAAATGAACCAAAGCGGACCGAAAACACTATTGGTCCGGTCCTTGGTCCTAAGATATCTTTCACTATTGGACCGCAATTCTCCTAAATTTGGTCTGATCCGGTTCGGACGAACCGATGCCCACCCCTACTCTCTACTATGCAATTCTAATTCTTCAAATTAATTATCCCAGAATGCACTATTTTATATATACTTCACCCAATTCCAATTTTTGATTTTATCTTTCATCAATTCACATTGAATTTTAATATTGTTTAATTTATACAATAAAATGAAAAGAAGTAACAACTTTCCGAAGAAAATTTTTAAGATCACATCATCCATATATATATATTGATAAATGTAATTGGAATGATGTTAATGGTTTAGCTATAAATCCATTTCCTACCGAATACTATCGATCGTTCTTTCAAATTTCACACATTATATCTAGTAATGTGGTACCAAGGGCATACTTTAAAATGTGTCATCTGTAAACTCCTAACATTCATAGGAATACTTTTAAGGTGTATCATGTTAAGTGATACTCTTGTTAAATAAACACCATTATTTTTATCTTAGTCATTATAGCTAGGCACATTATAACTTAGCCTTATGAAATGGTAGGAAGGATGAAGTTGGGTATACAAAAAAATCAATTGGCAAAGGCAACTACCACGCACAAGGCCACTTGGATCCACTTGCCTTGCCACCATATTTAACAAACACCTCCCATGAGCTACCAAGTACCCATCACCATTAATTCATCCCCTAAAATTACATAACCAGCAGATTGAAAAACCACCTACAAGTTACAACTAGGGGTGTTTGTTCGGGTCGGGTTCGGTTACCCGAACCGAAACCCGGCAAAATCCGAACGAAATCGAAATCACTGAAAATCGAACCGATAAGGGTTTTCGGTTTCCGGTTACCCGAAACTCGAAAATTCCTTATTGGGTTCGGGTTCGGTTAAAGCAAAACCGAAATTAAAAAACCCAAACGCCTATGAATATGGCGTTTTCAATCGAAACCCGAAAAACCAATAAGCAAAACCGAACGCGAAACCCAAAACCTGAAACAAAACCGAATCCAAAAAAACAAAAATATATCTAATCGGGTTGGTTTCGGATAAACCCCAAAAAACCGAACCCGAATGAACACCCTAGTTACAACCACCGAGCTATATACTTCCTTACATGCTCTTCTTCTTATTCTTCTTCTTCCACACATGATTCCTTAGCTAGCTACCATCAGTCCATCACTCTCACTCGTCTTCCAAAAAAAGAGCCAAAGTTATTATGGACTCGTGGCCTCTCCTCCTAACTTGCCTCGGCTTCCTCTCCCTCTCCCGCCACCTCATCATCCCTCTCCTCACTTACCTCTCCACCACCGCCGCCGCCGCCAAGCCAGAGGACCTCAAGACCAGGTACGGCCCGTGGGCCATCGTCACGGGCTCGACCGACGGCATCGGCCTGGCCTTCGCCGTCCAGCTGGCCCGACACGGCGGCCTCAACCTCGTCCTGGTCGGGAGGAGCCCCGCCAAGTTGAAGCGGGCTTCGGCCCAGATTTCGTCCGAGGTTGGCAATCACGTGGAGATCAGGACGCTGGCGGTGGATTTCGCGACCACGGAAGACGTGGAGAGAGTGGTGAGGGATGGAGTGCGTGGGCTGGAGATCGGCGTGTTGGTGAACAACGTCGGGATGACGTACCCTGGAGCCAGGTACTTCCACGAGGTGGAGGAAGAGGTGTGGACGGAGATGGTGAGGGTGAACTTGGTGGGGACGACGATGGTGACGAGGGCGGTGTTGGGCGGGATGCTTGAGAGGGGGAAAGGAGCTGTCGTCAGTGTAGGCTCCGGCGCCGCTGCTGTTCTGCCTTCTCATCCGCTCTTCGCCGTTTATGCCGCCACTAAAGCGTAAGTTGATGTACAATTTTTTTTTGGTTACAAATTATAAATTCTTTGTTAACCATATTTGATATTATTGTGTGCATTCAAATGTTTGATAGTATGGGTTAAATAAATGTGAAAGTCGATATATATTTTTTATTTTGTGAGTGATGTAGGGGTCTCCATTCGGGTTCGGTTTTTTCGGTTTATCCGAAACCGACCCGATTAGATATATTTTTGGTTTTTTGGGTTCGTATTTGTTTCGGATATTTTGGTTTCGGTTTTGCTTATTGGGTTTTTGGGTTTCGGCTGAAAACCTCCAAGAAATAACACTCAGTCATCGGGTTTTCGATGGTTCGGTTTTGCTTTAATCGAACCTAAACCCGATAAGAAATTTTCGGGTTTTGGTTAATCGGAAACCGAAATTCCTTACCGGGTTTGGTTTTCAGTGATTCGAGTTTTGTTGGTTCAGGTAACTGAACCCGAGCCAAACGGACACCTACCCCTAGAGTGAGGTTTCCTCGGTGGCCACCACAAGTAAGCAAATGTCAAAGTATGATGGGTACAATGCCTATAGGCACGTACCATCATCATATCCAAATTTGGACATTGGAAAATATAGCAACGTAATTAACACAAAAAAAAGGGAGGTGCAAGTGTAAGGTGGAGAGAGCCGTCCATAATTATTAGGACCATAAGCATATACAAATTTTCTATGTGGCCACGGGTTCAGCAGTACTATTCTTTGGGACCAAAGGGTACATGCAATGCATGTGCCCTTCCACTTCCCACAACCGGCATTCATTCATAAAGTTCCACCCCATTTTTTGAAATAATTTTATCTGATCGAATTGATTTTAACTGCATATTGATGCAGCTACGTGGATCAGCTTTCGAGATCCTTGCATGTGGAATACAAAGAGATGGGAATCGACGTCCAGTGTCAGGTGCCGCTGTACGTAGCCACCGAAATGACGCGCAAAGTGGCCATGATCGAGCAACCATCGCTCTTCATACCTTCGCCAGAGGCGTACGCAGAGGCAGCAGTTCGTAGGATCGGCGGCGAGGCTCGCTGCACGCCGTATTGGGCTCACTCCGTCCAGTGGTACTTGGCTCGTCTCGTGCCGGAATTCCTCCTCGATTCCTGGCGCCTCTCCATTGGAATCAGCAGAAGGGAACTTGATATCGTACGTTGCTCACAGACTTGATGTCAAGTAGTAACGTTGAAACTGGTTGATTGGTCCATGGATTGGGGGACAAACATGAAAAGATAATTATAAATTTTATTAGTGCTACATTATAAAGAATTGTATTGTAAGGATGTTTGTGGGCGGTGTAATCTATATATCCATTCTTCCCACCCCAATTCCTTTTTATCTTTCATCCCGATCCATTTTTGTTTATCCAATATGGTGCGCGAGCTCTTTTCCATGGGGCTTTCGTGCTTATTGCACGTACGTCTCCAAGTACGTCCTATCGAGACCCATTGTCACCTCAATCAAGGCTCTCGTATCTGCGACATTAAGCATCTAGCTCATTTCAATAGGTACTACCTATCGTGCACACTGAAGAGTAGGATCTGTGAGCTTGCGAACCTCTAAAGCTTCGTCCTAGGAAGGTGTTTTTGTAGCAGGGGTTCGGTCGCCTCGTCCACTACAAGACTCTAAAATAATTCATCTATCCTTAATCTGCTAGTTGGCGCTACCTGTCTAACTCTAAAACAACTCCTATCTAGTGCGGTAGCTCATCATAGGCTAGTAAAGAATGTTAGGGCGATTTACCCAAACACAATTTAGCATACATGAGCAATAAACTCAGTAGACAAACACATCAATTCATAAACCCTAACATAAATCATTCATCTAGATGAGAAATCATTGAATGTTTGAGACATGAAGTGTTTTATTTAATCAAAAGCATAAATAATATTTAGAAGATTTGAGATTTGACAATTATAGTAGCTTTAAACTATCATCATATGTTAAACCCCATATATTTTTATATATTAGTTACTTATGAATTAGTATTTAATAATTTGAAGGACGTCTTGCACACTCTGAAGGACTTCCCACACTACTATAGTAGCTGGTTCTGGGGATGAGGAGCTAAACTTTACCTGTGGAAAGACGATGACTTTGAAGGACGTCTTGCACACTCCAGAGATAAGGAAGAATCTTATTCCGGGTTATCTTTTAAATAAAGTTGGGTTTACTCAAACTATTGGGGCAGACTTGTATACCCTTACTAAGAATTGAACTTTTGTGGGAAATGGTTATGCTTGTGATGGGATGTTTAAGTTGAATGTTGAAAGCAATAAGATGAATTCTTCAGTTTATATGCTGTGTGATTTTAATGTTTGGCATGCTCGTCTTTGTCATGTGAACACACGAATTATGAAGAATTTGACAAACTTACAGGACACATCCCTAAACCCTTATTGAATGAATCTTAAAATATATTAAAAAAAAGTTTAAGAAAAAAACCTATTCCATGTAAGCCTTCTTGGCTTCCCCACAAGTAGGCGTGGACATTGGTCCGGTCCGAACCGAATCGGACCAAATTCAGAGGATCGCGGTCCAATAGTGAAAGATAACTTAGGACCAAGGACCGGACCAATAATGCATTCGGTCCGTTTGGTCCACTTTGGTTCGGTCTAAATGTAAATTCGGTCCATTTTTCTTCAGTATTTATAAAATTCATAGGACCAAGGACCGGATCATATTATATTTGATTCGATGTGATCCGATCCAAATATCAATTCAGTCCGATGTGGTTCAGTGTGAACCAACCCATTGCCCACCCTTACCCGCAAGTTTCGGAATTGGGTTATTTTTTTCTCTGGCCGTCTCCCTTAAAATCGCATGTTAGAGATTTAAAAAAAAAAATTAATATGCTTTCTTCACTATTCCTCCGTAATATGTTGTCCACGATTTTTTTTATGAATATCCAGTTTTTTAAAATATATAGACACTTATCCTTTTTCCTATTTGTTTCCAGGGTGGATTTTTGTTCGAATTTGTTAAAATTGGTTGTTGTTAACGTTGTTTCAAATGTGCTATTTTGAAACAAAAAGGTTTGTTTGGCTAATTTTTATATTAGTGATTAATATTTTGTGACTTGAATTTAGTTGTCATAAGAAATGGATATTTCAATTACCATATATAATTCAAATATTAGATATTGTGAACAAATATTGATCCGTGTATCAAGTATTAGATGATAAATTTGATTGTTTTGAACTTTGATTAACAAATTTGAATATAAATTTGTGCAGTGAGACTTTCAAAACCGCCTTGAAAGATATGAGTACTGAGAGTTCGAATCATTATGTGGCCATATAATAAATGTTGATAGAAGTTTTTAAAATGTCAGCATGTATGAGAGAGCAATGAATTTGCTCTTTAACCTGAGTAGGAGAAGACTTTTCACATAAGCATATTGATATTAGCAATTTCTGATATCTTTAATAGTATTGTACTTCTTTTTTTCTCCTCGAAAAAAATGATCATGTAAAAATGAATTGTAAAAAATAGATACTAAATTACAATCTCATAAACCTACATTGCAAGACCACAATAATGTTTTTAAAAATTAGTTGTAAAAATACAAACAACTTAAAAGTCTTAAAACAGTTAAAGGATACATTTGAATCACTTAATCGATAAGATAAAAAGAAAAACTCACCCGGCCAACAGGTCGGGAATAAAGCTAGTTTGATAAATGTGATTTCTGTAGCCAAGATAAGATAACAAATATGCCCCAGAAATCTATGAATAGAGAATCGAAACCCCTAGATTTGATTCATTATGATATTTGTGAACTAGATAGGACGCTAACTAGGTCTGGCAAGAGATACTTTATCACTTTTATAGATGATTGTTCTGATTATTCCTTTGTTTATTTTATGAAAAACAAAAGTGAGAACCTTAATATGTTCAAGGTATTTGTGGTTGAATTTGAAAATCATTGGAACAGAAAAATAAAACGACTTAGGAGTGATAGAGGATCAGAGTACGACTCTAATCCCTTCAAGGAATTTTATAGCTCACACGGTATCATTCATGAAACCACGACACCATACTCACCAAAAATGAATGGTAAAGCTGATCAGAAAAATAGGACATATACAGCATTAGTTGTGTCTATTATGCTCAATTCTCGAGCTGCATCTTCTTGGTGGGGTGATATTTTGTTAACGGTTTTCCATGTGCTTAATTGTCTTCCAAAAACTAATAGAAAAGAATCACCCTACGAGATTTTGAAGAATAGACCACCTAACTTTTCCTATTTAAGAACGTGTGGCAGCTTAGCCTACGTAAAAATTCCAAATCCTATGAGGATTAAGCTGGCTAGTCGAGCACATGAGTGTGTCTTTGTTGGCTATGCACCCAACAACAATGCATATAGATTCTATCATTTGAATGCTCGTACTATAATAGAATCCAATGATGTTGATTTCTTTGAGACTCGATATCAATTTTATACAAGAAATAGTGGGGTTAATGTACTGCCTGCTATTAGAGATAACGGAACTAGTGGGGTGTTAGATTTGAGGTTGAACTCAGAAGAAGTAAACGAGTCAAAATCTCCAATGATTTTGGTGAAGACTTTAGTAAAATGTACACATCCTAAAAGTCTGCAGGAAGCACTATCTTCAATAGACACAAACTTGTGGGATGAGGCCGTTACAGATGAAATGGATTCTTTAAAAGCAAATAAGACTTGGCATCTTAAAAACTTACCTCCTGGCTGCAAGGTCTTAGGTAATAAATGGGTTCTAAAAACGAAATGGCGACCTGGTGGTGGTATTGAAAGGTTTAGAGCTCGCCTAGTAGTTAAAGGGCTACAGGTAGAGAGAGAATGTAGATTTCTTTAATACTTATTTACCAGTATCAAGAATAACATCCATTCGTGTAATGATTGCTCTTGATGCCTTGAACAATCTCGTGGTACACCAAATGGATGTTAAAACTGTCTTTCTGAATGGTGATCTGGATGAAGGAATTTACATGGAGCAACCAGAAGGGGTCGTTATTCTTGAACATGCCTCGAAAGTCTGCAAGTTAGACAAATCTTTGTATGGTTTGAAGCAGGCTCCAAAAGAGAGGCATGTGAAGTTTGATACCCTAGTTCTCTCACATGGCTTCAAGGTGAATGAAAGTGACAAGTGTATTTACTAAAAATCAGGAAATAACACTTGCATTATCATATGTTTATATGTAGATGACATGATAATATTTGATACAAATATCCACGTGGTCAATGAAGCGAAATCCATGTTAAGAGAGAACCTTGAGGTGAAAGATCTGGGTGAAACTAAGTTTATTCTTGGAATCCAGATAACTAGAACAACAAATGATTTTTCTCTAAATCAATTTGGTTACATAGAGAAGATCTTGAAGAAGTATAACTATTTTGACTATAAACCTGCGTGTACTCCGTATGATGCTAGTGTAAAGCTATTCAAGAAAACTGGAGAGAGTGCAAGGCAATCTGGATATGCTATCATCATTGGCAGCCTCCATTATGCGATAGATTACACTAGACCAGACATTGCATATGTCGTGGGATTGCTTGGCAGGTTTATTAGTTGTCCTAGTAGAGAGCATTGGAGTGCTATAGAAAGGGTCATGAGATACTTTAAGATAAAAATGAACCTTGGTATACATTATCAAAGGTATCTTATTGTACTAGAAGCGTATAGTGATGCAGATTGGAATACCCTATCAGACGATTCCAAGGCAACTAGTGGTTACGTTTTTTAACATCGTTGGAGGATCTGTGTCTTGGAAGTCTAAGAAACAATCAATCTTAGCTTAATCAAATATGGAATCAGAGATGATAGCACTAGCAACGGCTAGTGAAGAAGAGAGTTGGTTGAGAGGATTATTTTCAGAGATTCCCTTATGGGAAAGATCAGTTTCTCTAGTATTGATCCATTGTGATAGCACCGCAGCTATCGCTAAAGTTGAGAACCGGTTCTATAACAAAAAGAGACGACTGATTCGTCATAAGCAAAGTACTATAAGAGAACTCCTAACGATAGGGGCAGTGAGGGTGGATCATGTAAGATCCGGCAGTGAAGGACTGAGGGTGGATCATGTAAGATCTGAACAGATCTAGTTGGTCATTTGACGAAAGGATTAGCAAGAGAGGAAGTCCAAAATATCGCCAACGGTATAGGACTTATGCCTACCGAACCACGGAC